GGACCACAAAGGTTCATAACAACAAATGCACACCTGAATTTTAAGGGCCAAAATTTTGAGTATATTCCGTTTAGTTCGGGTAGAAGATCATGCCCCGGGTACGCACAAGGTTCGCTAATGGTTCAACTTGTATTAGCTCGTTTGGTTCAGGGGTTTGATATGAAAACCAAAGACGAGATGCCTGTGGATATGCGTGAAGGACTAGGCATTGCCTTAGAAAAGCTCAGTCCACTTGAAGCTGTCCTCTCTCCTCGCCTTCCTCTTCAGCTCTATGAATGCCTTTGAAGCAGATGCATACTTAGGACAAAACTTTTTATGAAATCTATGGAAACTGTAGCCGAATGCATTACTACATTCTAGCTGATAAGTATGTTGCTAATGAACAAGACCAAGCAGCCGAGCAGGCACAGTCCTTGCGCTAGTGTGGGACCCACGCCACTAATAATTATGCTAATTGGTCCTATTGTTTATCTTTTGAGGTATAATATAAAACTTATAAATGATGCTTACTTTTTATTAGTTGTGATAGCTCATAAGTAATAATATTCCCTATAGCTACTATGGAATTGGTACTATCAAAAATCAATAGTGCTAAAATACTAATTTAGTCTACTCTATTATGTTATATTTTGAAAGGGTAGTAATTCTACTTTTCGTATTTAGCTTACTCATATATGTAGGTCTAAATTTATTTTTTGTCATATAATATAAAATCTATTACACTGCTAGAGTCTAGACATGTGGTTGTTCTATATTTTTACTTTGCTGCAATAAGCAATTAAATGTTGTTGATTCTCATCTATATATCGAAACACGTCCCATAAATTCAAGCAAAATATGAATTTTTTTTTTTTAAATCCCATCAACTACTTTGAGGAAGGAAACTGATAAACATTGATGCCTAAATTCCAAGAAAATTAAATAGAAGATGCAAAAGTCGTTTGCATGGATACTATACGACATGGGCCGAACGCTTCTGAAATTTCGCTGGGCCATGCATCTCTCAAGATAAGATACCCATCACCTGTCATTGACAGGGACACTGAGAGCATATAAATAAACAGATTATTTTCATTAGAAAATTACCCAAAAAAAAAAAGAACCGATTATTGTACACGCAAATTGAGAACTCAAACTACAAAATATACACAATCATGCTGCATATCTTTCATGCATGTAGTTAGTGTTTCTATTAATTATACGTTATACATTTCGGATGTACTTTGCAATTGAGCGAAAAGGCGTTGCTCAATATCTGGAAGCGGCAACGTCCATTAAAAGATTAATTTATCTAATTAGCCAAACCAAATGAGTTGAAACAAGATCAGGAAATTATGTTTAAGGGCACCAGTATCAATGCTAGGCGTCGGAATTAATAGAAAGGTTTGAAGGTTTCATGTTGTGGAATTAACTTTTTTTTTTATATAGCATGTGATATTCAGTGGCAGAGCTAGCCTCCAAATTGAGTGGGGTGTACATTATATCTCTTTTAAGAAATATAACATATATGTATCACAGTTTTTTTTTTTCAAAAAAAAAAAATACATGCATATATTCAAAAATTATTATAACATATTACAATAGGCAAAATGACGAGTTTTCGTCTTTTGAAAGCACTGTATAATAGCTTCATTTTCAACACGATTGAAAATTTCTTTCTCGATGTAGATGATCAAACTATCATTCATCCATTGTTCTCCAATTCCATTTCGCAAACGGTTCTTTACAATATTTATGACAGAAAATACTCTCCACAGTAGCCGTAGCAACGGGTAAAATTAGTGTCAAAGTAATCAACATGTAAATTAGTGGGTACACATAATTCTCTGTGTCACAACCATTTTTTGTCTAAGAGTGCTAATACCTTTCAATCATGTAAAAACTTTACTCGAACACATAGCAATTATATAAGTTTCAAGTTGATTCTCAAGAACCATAAGCTTGACCACAAAAAAAATCTCTTGGATAATACTTAGCAAGCTGGATCAATTTTTCTTTGTCAAAAGTAATGAATGAATCATCTGGGCATAAGCAAGCTAGACAGAGAAGCAACTCGGTATTTACTTCAGTAAAATGATCATTTAATTCTTGAAGTTACATATCAATGACAAAATATAATTATTCCACACGAAATTGGTGTAAAATTATAACTTTTTGAGCTCTGCGTCGCGATCTATCTCGTGCTCTAAAGATATCATCCATGTTGAGAATATCAATATGGTGCTCTTGGCAAAACAAACAAACTTGATCAAAAAGAGAATCCCACCCACTCTCCCTCATCATTTGCAATCTTTGTATACATATTTTCACTAAACTCATGGCGTTCACAATATCTTGATCTTTTCATTGCAATGCCTTTGATAGCTCATTTGTAACTCCTAATATATTTCTCATCAAATGAAGATTAAACACAAAACCAAATGATTGGATTGAATCCAATGAATTGCTCGCTTCACATCTTTGTTCAGAACTCAACCCATCCTCAACAATTATTTCAGGGACTTCAATTATAGATGCGAACATGCTAATCAAGCTAATTAACGTACCATAGTGTAAGCCCCAACGTGTTTCTCCATGACGTTTTAGAGAAGTTTGCTCATTCAGTCTCTTCCACTTGCAATTTCACCATTTTTAATTGCCCTGGCAACTATTGTAGCTTGCTTATCTTGAAGAATGTCACAACGTCTAGGTGAAGCTCTAACAGTATTTACAACGCTAGCAACCACACTAAAGAGGGACGCAATTTGAATATATTTTTGAGAAATAGTAGAAAATATGCTAATATGAAAAGGTTAAGAAAGTATATAGGTCAATTTTTAGTTATAGAAATTAATAGGCTATAACTTGTCAAGTTATAGTTCATAATCAGATAAGTTGTGGATAAATTTGTCAAGTTATGATTTATAACCAGACAAGTTGTGGACAATTATGGACAATAATTTGTCAAGTTATGATTTATAACCAAACTAGTTATGAACGAAAACAAAAATTTAACCTATTTATTAATTTATGTAAACTATTGACATATTAATTTTAATTCATCCCAAATCTTAACCTATTTTTCTCTTTCTCCCTATATTTTTTGGCCACATACACAAGAGCTAACTGAAGTTGATGGGCAAAGCAATGAATATAAAATGCACATGAGTTTTCTTCCAAAACGAGAGTTTTGAGACGATTAGGCTTACTTTGCAAATTGCTAGCCCAATCATTACCTTGCCCCCACAATTGTTAAAAGTGATTTAAAAAAAAAAAAAAAAGTGAGTAGGGGGGACAGCCCCCACTCGTTCCTATAATCTGCCCCTGGTTGATTCAACTTTACTTGCTTGGATGGACTATGAATAATGATACAATCACTTTTTTTTTTCTTAAACCTTAATTTGTCTGCATTATATAACTCTAGCTAAACCCAGGTCATCAAGTACTCTTGCATGAGTACTCCAAAAAGAATTTGCCTGACCGGAGATGATTCAGCTCTCTCGTTGATTTTATTAATTTAAATTTAAAATTTAAATTTTATTACAGTAAAAATTTTTTATAAATAATCACATCTAATTTTTTTATTATAATAAAAAATTCTCACATAAAGTTACATCTCAACTCAAATCAACAAATCAGCGAACTAAACATATCGTAATATTATCTTTATTTTTCACATAGGCTACAGTATCCATTACAAAAACTTTGTCCTATTGTGTGTCAATCCTGATCAGTCCACATTTGAAACTGGCTAGTGATTGATGAGATACACTGCAACATTTTAATTTGTCCATTTCTAGATTTTTATCTTTTTTGTTAGGCGGGAAAAAAATATCAAGGAGTTGTCAGGCTACTATAAATTAAATACGCGTTGCCCGTATTAATGGATACGCATTAATTAATTGCTTGCCACAAAAGAATTTTTGTTTTTTTAGAGGGGAAAAAAACGACATGATCAGACCAGGTCTTGGCCGATATTCACTCCACTAACTTTTTGAAGTAAATTAAGCTGACTTTTATTCAATTAGGAAAATATCAGCTCGCACAAAAACGCGATAAATTTTGGCAAACAATCTAACCAAACAAAATTAACATGCAACGGCATATTTTTTAGTGCTAACAATTTATGCATTTGTGGTAATACATGATATTGTTGAAGAAGTGTCATTTTACTTAGCGAACAAAATTGTTACTTAGCGAACAAAATTATACACGATTTATTATTTCATTATATTACAAAATATGATAATTACTATGTTATTTTTACTATATTTATAATATTTTAAAATTTTTGTTAAATTTCAAGTTAAAATATGAAATTTTATCACGTAGTGTAATAACTTTTTTACCATGAAGTGATCTTACGGAGAGGAAATCTCATTTACGCTAGGTCAAGTTATCCCTTTGACTTATCAAGATTGTAAGTTAATTCCAATGAGTGAGGTCTATGCTCATATATCTCCATATATTATGAAATATGCAAAAATCTACGACGGAGATTAGTTCAACTCATGATCCGAGCCTATATGGACGGCAAAGCTTAAAATCTAGAGAAATAGTATAAAATAGGCCAATATGAAAAGTTTAAGAAAATATATAGGTCAATTTTTAGTTATAGAAATTAATAGGCCATAACTTGTCAAGTTATGGTTCATAACCAGATAAGTTATGGACAAACTTGTCAAGTTATAGTTCATAGTCAGACAAATTATGAATAATTATGGACAATAGCTTGTTAAGTTATGATTCATAACCAGACAAATTATGAATAAAAATAATAATTTAACATATTTATTAACTTATGTAAACTATTGACCTATTAATTTTAATTCATCTTAAATTTTAAGTCTATTTTCCTCTTTCTCCCTAAAATCTAAACTCATGACTAATGATAAGTTCATCAATTTTCTCGAATAAAATTGGGCCTAATGGATCCAATGTCAGGTTTTTAAAGAGTTGGGCTAGCCCAACAGATACTAATGCCGCACCAACCAACCAACAAACGAAAGAGAACTGAGAAAATCTGTACATACCAAAGTTGAACTCCTGGCTCTACCCCGTCGTCGTCTTCTTCTACAGACTTCCCAACGTTGAATCTGAATGCGAGTAATTAACAGTTAGGGACATTTCAACGAGTTTTACGTCTCAGTCGAAAAATATGGCTGCCAATTTCTGGACTTCCTCTCACTAGTATGTTCTTGAACTCCCCATCTTTTGCCCACTTTGTTTCCTTATTCTTTTTAGATTTTTCCTAGCTTTCTTAATTAATTTATTTATTTTTGTACCCAGCAAACAGCTGTTGGACCAGGAAGAGGTGGATGTGGTGCATCCGCTTGACAAGGAGAAAGGCATCACTCTTGCAGAATTCAAGCTTCTTAAAATGCACATGGCCAATTGTATGCGATTTTTTTTTTTTTTTTTGCGCCCCTCTTGTTGTTTCGTTATTGTTTTTGAATGTCTTATGTCTATGCTGATTTCTACGATCTGGGTTTATGTATTTCTTCGTGAATTTTCCAAGTTGAACTAAGAATTTTACTTTTTATACGAAATGTTCAACTGGGTCACACTTCAATTGTTGATCGTTGCAAATAATTCTTGATGTTGAATTAGCCTATGGTATAACACGGACTTATAAGGGTTATCTTTTTTCTCTTTTTTTTTTTTTTCCTTTTTTTAACCTCTTGGCTGATACACTTGATTGATGATATATTTTCTTTACCTTTTATTTTCTCTCAGATATATGGAAATTAGCAACGCATGTGAAAGTGAGACAAAGGTTTGACTTGGTCTTTGTGTTTTTTTATTTGATGTTCCAGTTTCAGTTTCTCATGATATTACCTTTTCTATCATGATATGGAACCAGACTTCTGAATTTTATTTGGGAAATGCCATTGGCAACATCATGCTGAAGAACATGTAGTCCTTTTTATAAATGGTTCACATTGTTATTTTGTTAGCACAGAAACTTGTTGACATTTACTTGTATTCCAGGAATCCTTTGGGTTTAAGAATGAAACTTGTTTCCAATTTTTTGACCTAAAGGCTTGGTTGAGTTAAAAGTGCAAACAAATAACATAGTTTAATGCTTTTATTTATCCTTTTTTTTCTTTTTTTATAAATAATCCACAACATCATCAAATGAGTTAATAACTATATATTTTTATCATCTTAACTAATTTTGTATGGCAACATTATTCATCTTTATTTCACCAATTTTTATAATCTTTTTCTTGTTCACTGGTATTTCAGGGTTGTAGCTACTGCAGTTACATATATGAGACGTGTGTACACCAGGTATATTGGGTGAAAAATTTCCCAGTGGTCATGTGCTCTCTGCAGTTTTTTTTTTTTTTTTTTTAGTTGAATAGATAGGTCTTTTAGGGATGAGTTACAGTCTTACACTTTCCATGGCTCGGTTACTAAGTTGCAATCCTGTGTCTACATTACATTACTTGATGATATGATCGTTGGACATCCGAAAATGTTGAAAATAAATAGGAAAATCGGGATATATGAGAGTTGCAATGCGCCACATCTGATATACATAACTTCTGTTTCTGATTTCAGGAAGAGTCTGTCTGAATATGATCCACGTCATGTCGCTCCAACATGCTTGTACCTGGCAGCAAAAGCAGAGGAAAGCACAGTGCAGGCTAGACTTCTTGTATTTTACGTCAAAAAAATGCGTATGTCCTCAACATGATAAATTGATCTATATTATGCAAAAGTGAATTGTTGTTATCCAATTTAAGATGTGAAGCTCTGAAACCCGTTTAGTTGGTGTTGTAGCGACTGATGAAAAGTTTAGATTTGAGATCAAAGACGTGCTTGAAATGGAAATGAAGATTTTGGAGGCAATCAACTACTATCTAGTTGTATTTCATCCCTACCGTTCATTGTCTCAGTAAGTATTTTGTTTGAATGACTTAGATGACTTGCAATACCATTTATAATGATCTTTTGGCAGTTGAAATACTGGTTGGATTCTTTATAGCTTGCAGTATTTTCTATTGTATTTTTTTTTTTGTCAATCTCTTTGTCGTTTTTGTCATAGATCGTGATTTGTATGGTCATTTGAACAAATTATACTGAAATCTAACTTTTTTTAATAGTTTAAAACTAACAAGTTTATTTCGTGTTTTCTTTAACAGGCTCCTTCAAGATGCAGCACTTAATGATATAAGTATGACTCAATTAACTTGGTAAGACCAGTATGCTGATAAGTTTTTTTTTTTTTTTTTTTTCTGCTGATTTCTTTTTGTACTTTATATCTTAGAAAAGTTTATACATGATGTCTGATTCTTGTTTCAGTACAACGAAATCGTAATGAACTCTTAATATTCTGTAAAAACAGGGGACTTGTCAATGACACGTACAGGATGGATCTTATACTTGTACATCCTCCTCATCTGATCGCTTTAGCTTGTATATATATTGCTAGTGTGCTCCGGGATAAAGATACCACTTCATGGTTTGAAGAGCTCCGTGTTGATATGAATGTGGTGAGTGATTCTTCCAAGCTAAAATTGAGGTTTTCTTTTCTTTTTTTTCTTTTTCTTTTTTTCCTCGATCAAGTTAATACCTTGCTAAAAGCATTCAAAAAGTTAGGACGCCAGGTTATTATTATGCTTCTTTAGAAGTTGTCAAAACCGTCGTCGTCCGAATTGCGTATTCGTTCTTTGATTATTGAACATAGATTTAGGTCATTCTTGATAGTTATGCTTTTGTACCCAATGAAGTAATTTGTGTATATCTTTTGCAGGTGAAAAATATATCGATTGAGATATTAGATTTCTATGAAAACCACAGAATTAACATGGAGGAGAGGCTTAATGTTGCTATGGCCAAGCTTGGTGTGAAATTTTAGCTGGCTAACTACTTTCTGCCTCTTGCTTTTGAACGGTAGATGGTTACAGTTATTTATTTCCTTTTGCAATTACTAAGATGGCTTTGCCAGCCATTCTCTGAAAGAGTAAAATGATCATGACGTTGAATGTATTATGGACCAATCCATGTTGTAAAGCCACTTGCTCTTTCTAAGCAAGCTTGGAATTCAATCAAATGTTTGTGCAATTGCGCATTTCTCCCCATAAAATTCTTCCTTGGTAACAAGATTTAGAGCAAGTGTCACATTATTTTGATGACATTTTTCAACCTATTTTGCCATGATCAAAATGATTTACACGTGAACAAGTATCATTAACTATACATTCAGCCACGAGAAGTTTTTAAAAAATGACAGGTATAATGGCATTTCTCTTCTTTGCGCAGGTAGCACAATTCACAACTTAGAAATCTTGCAACTGACACCAACTAGTTACTGATGATTCATAGGAACATAGCTAAAGTTGATATGAAAAAAACAAAAAAAAACAAAAAAAAACAAAACAAAACAAAAAAAGGCACAAATATGAAATATGAAATAGGATAGGGAGAGTCTTGAATAAGCCGAGTCGATTCTGTTTGGTCTATTATCTCCCTCTCTTGTTGGAAAACGGCATGATTCATGAATTGCTTCAACCTTGGTCAGTGATTACTTTTTCCCCTTCTTAGCCTTTTTCTTCTCTGTAATATGACAAAACAATCAAGTAAACAATTATTATAGAAAGAAAAAATAAAAATGGTAAGAAAGAGCTACCTAATTTCCTCTTAGCTTCAGATTTTGCAAAGAAATCCCTCCACTCATTGGTTAGTACAAAAATGGGCTCCTCATCTTCCTCTTCCTCTTCTATCCCATAATACTCCTGTTCCTGTAATACCCTGTTCATCATCCCCAATATGAAATTAGGGCACACACGGAAATTTAAGGCCGTTCAAAGGATCGAAACGGTAAAGGATTGTGTTTGTAAGCAATATATATATATATATAATCGCTAGGTTCTCCAAACCCAGAAGCGCCTTCATTTGAATCCTGAGGGAAGAAAGCAGGGGAAGGTGCAGAGTTTGGGTTTAAGGGAATATGAGCAAAAATAGGGCGTATTTGTCGGTGGCAGTGGTGGCAGTGGTGGTGGTGGTGGTGGTGGTGGTTGTGGTGGTTGTGGTGGTGCGGGCAGAGGAATAACTGATGATGATGGCGACAGTGGTGGTGGTGGTGGTGGTGGGGATGCGGAAGGGAGGAAGGGC